GGGGCCCCCAGGGGCCCTTTGGGGTCTTTTTGGGTCCTTTTTGAGGCCCCTTTTGCCTCTTTTGTTTCTTTTTATTTTCCTTTTCAAACTTTTCATTTCTTTTCCTTTTTTGGCGCTTCTCGGGGCCTCTTTTGGCCTTTTTCCGCCTTCGGAGCTCGCTGGCTGCACTTGGGTCCTTTGAATCTCATTTTGGGTCTTTTTGAATCCTTTTTAATCCTTTTTGATGCTTTTGAGCTTCTCTTTTGTCCTTTAAATCATTTTTTATTCAAATTTCTTTAATTTCTTTTACTTTTCCAAATTTGCTTTTATTTCTCCATTTTTGCCTTCCCGAGGCCCACACGGCCAGCTCCCGCCCCTCCAACGAAACGGCCCGGGGCCCCTGTGGGGTCCCACTGGCCCAAAAGAAGCCCCCAGGGGCACCCCAGGGGCCCCCCAGGGGCCCCCCAGGGGCCCCCTAGGGGGCCCCCAGGGGGCCCCCAAAGGGCCCGTTGGGGGCCTCTAGGGGGCCCCCAAAGGGCCCCACAGGGGGGCCCCACGTCTGTGGGGCCCCTGTATTTGCTTTGTGGGGTTGGAGGCAGCAGTTTGGCCGTGTTTTTTAGTGGTGGTTTTTGTGGGGGAAAGTTTTTGTTTAGTTTTATTTTAATTCTTTTATTTTGTGATTAGAACTTTTGTCATTTTATTTTAATTATTTACATGGCTTTGCTGGCCAAGGCATTTGATTGGGCCTTTTTTGCTTGGTTCTGGCGTTTATTGTTCACTTGCTGCTGCTGCTGCTGCTGCTGCTGCTGCTGCTGCTTGCTTTCAGCGTCGGACCCAAGCAGGTGGATTTTGACCCCCGCCAGCATTTACCTCTTCCCCAACCAGCCCCGCATCTTCCAAGTGAGCCAGCAGCTAGCTAGCTAGCTAGCTAGCTAGCTAGGGACCCAGCTAGCTAGCTAGCTAGCTAGGGACCCAGCTAGCCAGCTAGCTAGCTAGGGAGCCAGCTAGCTAGCTAGCTAGCTAGGGACCCAGCTAGCTAGCGAGAGAGAACCAGCTAGAGAACTAGCTAGCTAGCTAACTAGAGAGCCACCTTGCTAGCTGGTGAGAGTGCCAGCCAGCTAGTTAGCTAGCCAGCTAGCTAGGGGGCCAGCTAGCTAATTAGCCAGCGAGCTAGCTAGCCAGCTAGCGAGCTAGTGGAGAGCCAGATAGCTAGAGATCCAGTTAGCTGCATTGCCACGTAGCTAGCTAGCTTTCAAGCAAGCTAGCTAGCCAGCTAGCTAGCCAGCTAGCCAGCCAGCTAGCTAGCTAGCTGTAGGCTGTGCCAGGCTTGTGTTTTGTTATTGCTAGCAGGCCTCGACTTCGACTTTGAAGTTTCTGCAAGAAAATAAATTTAATTTTAATGAATGGATTTACAACGGGGTTCCGTACACCCGGCGGCAGGTGGGGTGTACGTACACCTCAGGACCAGTGTACTGCGTCCACTGCGCTTTATTTATTTTCATTTTTGCAATTTATTTCTTTTCTTTTTATTTTCAATTTAAATTCAAAATACAAATGAGGTGGAGGGCACCAACTGGCGCATTGGCGCCGTCTTCTAAAGCCCTCGAAAACGCCCACGCGAATGAATTAGGGTTTAGGGTTTAGGGTTTGCGGCTGCAGGAAGAGGAAGAGGAAAGGACAGCTTTGCTTCAGCGAATGGAAGAGCTGCGCCGACTCAAAGACAAGTCCACGCAAAGTAGGAAGCTCTAGGGTTTAGGGTTTAGGGTTTAGGGTTTAGGGTTTAGGGTTTAACTTGTGCAACAGCAACTGGGCAGCAGCTGCTCTGACTGCAGCAAACAAATAAATGCTGAAAAGTAAATAACAAACGAAAGAACAAGGAAGCTATTATTCATTTATTTATTATTCAATTTATTTGTTTGTTTGTTTATTTATTATTTGATCTTCCTCTTTTAGGCCCTGCAGCAGACTCTGCTCCTTCTAATTTATTTCCCTTTCCGGAATATACCGACGAGGAAACGCAGCAGCTTTTTGCTTCCGCAAAACTCGCGATTAACAACTGGCTGAAGAGCAGCAGCAGCAGCAGAAGCGGCAGCAGCAGCAGCGGCAGCAGCAGCAGCAGCAGCAGCGGGGGGGAAGGAGGCAACGGCTGGGGGGGAAGGCCGGGGGGAGTTTCTCAAGAAAGTGGGAGGAATGAAATAAATGAAAGACAAAGTGGAGCAGCAGCAGCAGCAGCAGCAGGAGAGGGGGGTCCCCTCGAGCTGTACGTACAGCTGCCGCTGCAGCGGCTGCTGCTGCACTCTTTCATTTCTCATCAGTTTCCATTTCTTTGCAGCAAAACAAAAACAAAAAAAGGAAATAAAGTTGTCGCCATTTACAAGTCAGCAAATAAATTCAACTTCTAATCCCTTTCTACTTTTTGTTTTATTTCTTTTCTTTTATTTACAAAGTTTGCATTTTGTGGAGCTTCGTCTTTTCTGAAATTTGCTTTAAAAGAAAGGACATCAAGCACGCTCCTGCTGCTACCGCTGCGGCTGCTGCTGCTACCGCTGCTGCTGCTGCTGCTACAACTGTTGCTGCTGCTGCTGCTGCTGCAGGAGTGCGCGAGAGGTGTATTCGGAAGAGCTGGGGGACTTGGAAGCAGCTTTGGAAAAGCTGAAGGGGCAAAGAGGGTGTCGGGAATTATTAGAAATAATAATTGAAAACAAATTGGCCCTCGTGGGCCACTGCTGCTTCTACGACTTTCTGCATTTGTACCAGTCCTTCATCAGGTGTGCGCCAAACGGGCCCCAAATCCCCAATTAATGCAGTTTAAATGCACAAATATTAATTAATTTATTAAATATTCAAATAATTGCCATTTTACTTTAATTTAAATGCTAAATTTAACGCCAAATGGCGCATTTCGCCTTTTCCACTTTCTTGCAAACCGTTTGCTTCTTCCGGTGTAGCGACAGCGGCGCTGCCACGCAGCGCAAATGGCAAAAGAACGGAACAACTAATGAATAAATAAATAAATAAATAAATAATAAAATTAAATAATAAGTTAAATAGACTAAATAAAATAAATGAAAGAATAAAGGAAGAAACAAGTTGAAATGATTCAACATTGCTGCAGCGAACTGCCCCCCACCGTTGCTGGCTTTCGGTCTTTCTGGACTTCTCTTTTTCCTTTTTGCTTCGACACAAAATTCATTTCCGAAACAAATTCCAATTTGAGTCAACTCGGAACTCCAGCGACCCTTAAAGGTGATATGCTGCTGCTGCTGCTGCTGCCAGCGGTGCTTGTGCAGCTGCTGTTGCTGTTGTTGCTGCTGCTGGTGTTGTTCCTGCTGCTGCTATTGCTGTCTTTATTGCTGGTGCTTCTGTATCTGCTGCTGTTGTTGCTGCTGCTGTTGTTGTTGATGCCGCTGCTGCTGTCATTGCTGCTGTTGTGGTTGCTGCAGCTGCTGCTCGTGCTGCTGCTGCTGTTGTTGGGTTTCTGCTGCTGTTGGAGCTACAGATGCTGCTGCTGCTCTTGCTGCGACTGCTGCTGTGGCACAGAGTTTCTTTGCAAGTGCATAACTGCATTTAAGAACTGTCTTTTATTTTTCTTCGTTTGCTTCTTCACTTGTCCTTTTGCTGCTGCTAGGCCTTTGCGAATTAATGGTTAGAGCTTCTCTTTGTCCTTCAGAAGAAAAAGAAAAAAATTATTTTCCCAAGTTCGAGCTGGAGTGTCTAGACGGCACTCACTGGGTGTAAGTGCTTTTCACTTTTAATATTTCATCATTCCTTTTTATTTTCTTTTCATTTCTTTTGCGTGCTGCTGCGCCCTATTGCTGCAGATCTATTTTCTCTTTTTCATTTCTGCATCCTCTGAATAATAAGTCATTTATCTTGTTTTGTTTTTTTTTCAAAGACATTTTGCATAACAAACAAAACCATTTCAATTCATTTTTACTTTCTTTTTATTCTTCCTCTACTTTGTAAAACTTTTTACTTTTTCTGCCTATCTGCTGTAGAGGATTCATTTGCTTTCGAGTCCCAGGGCCTTTAAACCCTAAACCCTAAATCAGTGTCTTGCGTCTCGCTGCTGCTGAGCTGTTCAGCTTTCTCGGTGTTGCCCTTAAAATTCACTTTGAATTCATTTCAAGTGCATATTAAACTCATTTTGAATTCATTTTAATTCACTTTAAGTTCAATTTAAATTAATTTAATTTGATTTTAAATCCAATTAAATTCCCTTTTCAATTTGCTGCTTCTGCTTTGCTTGAAGACTAGACGAAATGCTGCAGAGTGTCTTTTCTTCGCCGGGGAGCAGCAGCGGTGCAGCAGCAGAAGCAGCAACAGCAGCAGCAGCAGCAGCATCAAAAGAAGGAAATGAAGCCACAAAAGAAAAAGAAAAAGAAATAAATGAAAATAGTTTTCCAAAAGAAAATTTTCTTTCTCACGACGCTGGCTATGACAGCTTGTTGACTGCAGTGATCTTCTTGACCCAGATCGGCTGCGTGGCGCGGGAGAAGAGGATCGGCTGGGCCGATCTTTATTTTCGGTGATTAATTGAATTAAATTAAATTAAAATTAAATTGAAATTTAATTTAACTTAATTTAATTTAATTATTGTTAAAATTACAGAAAAAATTAAGTGAAAATTCAAAAGATTCGAGTTCCACTTTCCCCGGTCAAGTCCGCGCCGCCGTTCAATTCGAGTGTCGAAAAACGAGAAAGCGAATTTGAATTAAATTGAATTATTTTATTTTATTTTATTTATTTTACGTATTTGGCTTTTATTTGTTTTAAGATCCCCCGCCCCTCCTTCCATTTCCCCGAAAGTTTCTGCAAACGAGTTATTAGCAGCAGCAGCAAATCGTGTGCGGTGAGTTCAGGTGTACGTACACCTCGCCGCCTCAATTTTCTAATGGCGAAGCTAATCCCCAGATTTCATTTAAAAGATTTAAAAGTTCATTTAAAGGCTTTAAAGGCTTCTTCAGAAGCCCTCAACCCTGAGCACAAACAAAACCCCAAGGACTCGGCAGCAAAACCCTAAACCCTAAATCCTAATATTTGCTGCCTTTGCGTTTGCGCCGCAGGCTCGTGCGGACACAGCCGCCTTTTATACACCTGGAGCCCCCAGATAGCCAGCAGCAGCAGCAGCAGCCGCAGCAGCAGCCGCAGCAGCCGGATCGCGATCAGCAGCAGCCCCTAGCCCAGCAGCAGCAGCAGCAGCAACAGCAGCAGCAGCAGCAGCAGCAAGAAGAGGACCGGCTAACATTTGCCATGGTGGACATTCCGCCGAATTGGAGCTCGTGGGATATCCAGCAGCTGTGGGCCCCTCTTTGGGTGTACGTACACCTGGAGGAGCAGCAGCGCGTTTGCTGGATCAAAGCCAAAACAGAAGTTGATGCAAATACAATAAAGGACATTTACAACAACATGAAGCACAAGCAGTTCAAGTGGGTTCTTTTACTTATTCTTTTTATTATTTGCCGTTGGTTCGTTTGTTTTGTTGCGTAGTTGCTTTTTTCTTCTGCAGCGTCTTGTGCTGCTGTGCTGCGCTCTTGCTGCATTTGCCGCTGCAGCGGCTGCTGCTGCTGCTGCTCCTGTGCTTGCTGCTGCCGCTACTGTTGCTGCTGTTTGTGCTGCTGCTGCTGCAGCTGTTCTCGCTGCTGCTCTTGCTGCTGCTCCAGTGGGAGCGGCAGCAGCACAGACTCGTGCTGTTCTTCATTTGTTTCTTGGCTTTCTTCTAGTTTATACTTTTTATTTTATTATTTTTTGCTTTTTTTCATTTAATTCGCTATAAAATTGATCTTCTGCTTCAGTCTTTTGCTGTTCGCTCTAGGCTGCTGAAACACGCGGAGTACAGACACCTGAAAGAACAGGAAGCGGAAATGAAACAGTAAAACAAAATTCGAAATAAATAAATAAATAAATAAATAAACGAATAAACAAATAAGTTAATAAATAAATAAACAAATAAATAACAAGTTTAAAATTAAAAGACAAAATCGGCAAATGCAAATGCAGAAAGAAGTCAGAAACACCTGAGGGGTGGCGCCTTGGCTTGCATGTTCTTCTCTGTTTCTATATTTCTTTGCATTTATTTATTTATTGTTTAATATTTATTTATTTATTTATTTATTGTTTTTCATTATTTATTTATCTATTTATTTTATATTTCTTTTGTGTCATTTTATTTGTCATCTGCTGCGCCTGCTGGCTGCGCTTTGCTTCCGCCGCGGCTGCTGCCTTTTGATTCGTTTTTGACTTTTAAAAACTTTTAAAAACTTTTTTTGTCTACTTAAATTTCCAATTCTTTTTTATTTTATTAATTTATTTCTTTTGCTGCTAGCTGCAGCAGACTGGCCCCACGGGCAGGCAGCTGCAGCAGCAACTTGGCAGCAAATTTGAATTTGAATTAAAAATTTTTGCTTTTGTTGCGGTATTTTCTCAAGTCATGTGGCTAGTTTGCTTCATTTCTTGTTGCACTTAAAATCATTTCTTTTTGCACATTGGTGATGAATAGCATTTCAAACGACTGCTGCTTCTCGCCAGCTGTCTATACACCTGAGAGCAAGAGCAAACGCCAGCAGTCCTAGCCAAACAGCAGCAGCAGCAGCAGCAGCAGCAGCAGCAGCACTGAGGGGCACACGACTGGACTGACGCACTGGGGTGCCCCAAAAATAGATCTACTGCAATGGATTGCCCCCCTCAGGGGCCCCCGAAACCTAACTTTGGGGGCTCCCAGGGGGCCCTTTTGCGGGCTTTTGGAGTCCCCAGGGTACCTAATTTTGGGGGCCCCCAGAAGGCCCTTTAAAGGGTTTTAGGGGCCCCCAGGCGGCCCTTTTGGGGGGCCCCCCAGGGGGCCCCTTTCTTTGTGTGAGAGTTTACTAGCGAAGTAATCAAAGCTGAGGGGGGCCCCACAAAGGGCAAGGGGGACCCCCACACGCCTACTGGCATTCCGTGCAGCATGTCCTGCTGCTGCTGCTGCTGCAGCAGATTGCTGCTTACACACGTGTTTAGATACGGGCTGCTGCTGCTGCCGATGCTGCTGCTAAAGTTAAATGGAGATGCGTCGCCCTGTGCAAATACACCAGAGTTAATGCTGGAGTAGCTGCGCCCGATCTGCGGTCTCTGTTGCTGCTGATGCTGCTGTTGCTGCTGCTGCTGCTGCTGCTGCTGTTTGGGACCTGTGTCGACACACTGCCCAAAGAGGTCGCCAAGACGAATACGACGCCCAGCAAACAGCTTTTTTTCCGGCTGCTGCTTCTGTTGCTGCTGCTGCTGCTGCTGCTGCTGCTGCTGCAGCTGCATGCTGCTGCTGCTGTTGACTTCTTTCTTCCGGACAACTCGGGGAGTGCACAAGTAGGATGGGACTCCGCCTTCCCCCAGCGCTTGCGAAGGGCTGTGTTGCAGCATCAGCCGCAGCTGCTGCTGATGCTGCTGCTGCGGGCTGCGGCCAGCAGCAGCAGCAGCAGCAGCAGCACTCTGCGTCTGCCCCTCAGCCAGCAGCGAAGCATTATAAGGTGCTTCGTAATCTAGAGGAGGCAGCAGCAAAGGAGGGACCTTGCTGGGGCCCCCAAACCTCCGGGGGGGCCCCCCTGGGGCAGCTAAAAAGTTAAAACCCTCTCCAAAGTTGGGGGGCCCCCCGAGATCGGGGGCCCCCATGGAATTGGGGGCCCCCACGAAGTTCGGGGGCCCCATGGGGCTGGGGGCCCCCTGCAGCAGACTTTGGCGGAGGGAAGCATACTGCATGCAGGGGGTGCTGAGCGAAGCAGCAAAAGCGTTGCCGCTGCTGCTGGTGCTGCTGCTGCTGTACAGATTACCACCTCGGGGGGCCCCCTGAGGCCCCCCTAAAGGGCCCCCACCTGGGGAGCCCCCTAAAGGGGACCCTATAGGGGCCCCTAGGGGGGCCCCTGAGGAGGCCCGCAGCAGTGGTCCAGGTTGGGGACCAGTGGTCACGTTGGCACAAGTCGCTGCAGCTGGGGGCCCCCTAGGGGACAGCACAGGTACAAGAGGTGCTGAGGAGAAGTGGGGGCCCCTTGCTGGCAGATGCGCAGCAGCAGCCAGCTGCTGCTGCAGCTGCTGCTGCTGCGGATGCTGCGGGTGCTGATATGGAAGCTGCCTGAGTTGGGGGTCGTAGAGTAGCTGCTGCTGGGAAGCAGATAAACAGTCCATCAGCTGCTGCTGCTGCTGCTGCTGCTGTTGTTGCTGCTGCAGCAACTGCTGCTGTGGCGAGAGCGGTAAGGTTTGCGGTCTGTGGCTCGCTGATTGGAGCAGCTGCTGCTGCAGCTGCTGCTGCAGCTGTTGCTGCAGCTGTTGCTGCAGCTGTTGCTGCATCATCAGGTGTTGTTGCAGCTGCTGCTGCTGCTGCTGCTGCTGCAGCGCCTGCTGCTGCTGCTGCTGCTGCAGCCCCGGGTGAGCCTGCAGGTCTTGATGGCTGCTGCAGCTAATATCTGATAGTGTTAGCGGAAGTGGAGGCAAAGACTGTCTTTGGAGGTGCAGCAAAGGCCTCGCGTGTGCATTATTCCTTTCTGCTGCTGCTGCAGCAGCAACAGCAGCAGCAGCACAAGGCCGCCCCACAGTCAACTCAGGTGGATGTACACTTGGGCAGCCCCTTAGACTCGCTGGCTGCTTCCAGCCCCCTCTCTTTTGCCGCGCTGGCTCTGTGCAGTCGCCGCCTAAGTGTTGCTGCTGCTGCTGCTGCTGTTGCCACTGCTGCTGCTGCTGCTGCTGCTGCTGCTGGACGTGCGGGGTCCCCAGCGTCTTTGAAACGTCGTCTTTCTCTGCTGCAGCATACGGCTGGCTCCAAGGGCCTTGAAAGCCCTTTCCTGCTGCTGCTGCTGCTGCTGAGGCTGGTGCTTGGGGCGCTGCTGCTGCTGCTGCCGGCGCTGCAGCAGCTGCTGCTGCCGCGGGACTTAGCAGCAGCAGGCTTTTCTCGTGGGGGCTGTCTCTTTGTTTGTCTCTTTGTTTATCTCTTTGTTTGTCTCTTTCTTTATCTCTTTCTTTATCTCTTTCTTTATCTCTTTCTTTATCTCTTTCTTTATCTCTGCTGCGGGTCCTGCGGGTGCTTACATTTATATTAGTGTTAATTGTA